TGGAAATGGGGCCATTGTTGTGACTAACCTGACACATGATTTTTGAAGACTTTGGACTGGTTGGCAGGGGGAATTTTGAAAAGGTTAGAGATGCAAGTTGAAAAGCCTTAGAATGTTGTAAGTGGAGCTTAATGGGTGATTCTGATGGGAGCTCAGTTAACAGGATTGGCCTTAGGAATGCAGACAGTGAGCATGAAGTTTCAGAGGAAAATGAGGACTCTATGGGAAATGGGACTAGAGGCCACTCATGTGTCAAAGAACTTGGCTACATTTGGCTCATGGCCTGAGACTTTCCTGTGAGGCTGAGTTTAAAGGTGATGGACTAGTTAATCTGGTGGAGAAAATTTCAAGGCAGCACAGCATTCAATCTGTGTCATGAACATTGCTGGCAGCTTTAGCCAGGTTTACTAGGAGAAATGGGAGCAATAAACAGGGTTAAAGAATTCTAAAAATTTGTAGTTTGGCCAGAAAAGTACATGTAAAACTGGGGCCAAGGAAGGTGCTTATTGAAGAGATTATAGCCCCTAGAGACATGCTAAGTACTTTGATTTTTGTCTCAGATGAGAAAAGATGGTGTAAGGGCATCACAGGAATTCACAGGACCACACTCATTGCAGGCTCAAGGGTCTAGAGGAGGAAAATTCCTTTGAGAAGAGATCAGGGGTGTGTGCTACTCACACAGGGGAGCCTTGGAAGATGTTTTACCAGGCTAAGCTGTGCAGGCACTCAGAGGCTGCTGCAGCCACAATTCCAGGGGCCCAGGTATTGCCTGAGTGATCTTGGCATCATCCACATGTTGCTGGGTCTACAGGAATGCACCATGCTAAAGTTAAGGGGTCACGAAGCTTCCATTGAGATTTTGAAGTAAGGCCTGGGAGGCCATGCAAAGTGTAGCAAAGTCAGAGTCCTTGTGGGCTGCTCCCGAGAGGGTGATGTGTCAAGTGTGAAGGTGAACCTGAAGCTGGAAAGAAGACCTTGAGAATTAAGAAATGCCAGTAACGTGGACTGTCTGCTGACAAAAGCTACTGGCTGTGTAACAGGCTAAAAGGGAGCCCATGTGTACTGCCAGCAGGCCAAAAGGGTGAAGCTGCCCGAGTCCTTTTGAGAGCATGTTTTATAGCCAAGTGTCCTTGGTGCTGTATGTGGAGTTAGGGGCCCTGTTTGCCCAGCTGGGTTTTAGTCTTACTTTGGCCCCATCCTTTCTTTTCTTTTTTAAAAATTTTTCTTTTAGTTGTAGATGGACACAATAACCTTTATTTTATTTGTTTATTTTATGTGGTGCTGGGGATCGAACCCAGTGCCTCAAGCATGCTAGGCAAGCACTCTACCACTGAGCCACAACCCCAGCCCCACCCCCATCCTTTCTTTCTATGTCCCTGTTCCTTCCTCTTAGAACAGGAATGTTTCCTCTGTGCCACTGTAGATTGAATATATGCTGTTTTTGATTTTTTAATGTATATTTTTTAGTTGTTGATGAACCTTTATTTTATTTTATGTGCAGTGCTGAGAATTGAACTCAGTGACTCATACTAGTCAGCAGCTGCCAAGGCGGCTGTCGACCCACTCTTCCCTTTGTAACGGCACAAACCATGCTCCTCAGACTGACATCACCTCTCCCTGCCCTGCAGCCAATGTTCCCTGCCCCCTACCACTGAGCCACAGCCCTGCTTTTGATTTTTATAAGGTCTCCCAGCAAAAAGAGTTTGATTTTTGTCTCAGATGAGACTTTGGGTAGTGCTAAAATGATTAAGACTATGGGACCCCTGGAGATGGACTACATGCATTTTGCGTTGTGAGATGGGCATGAGTTTTATGGGTGCCAGGAGTAGAATGTTATGGTTTGGATATGAACTGTCCCCCAAAAGTTCCTGTTAATGCAGGAATGTTCACAGGTGAAATGATTGGATTGTGAGAGCTGTAACCTAATCAGTCAGTCCTAGTTTGAATGGCCTGGGCGGTAACTACAGGCAGGTGGGACAAGGCTGGAGAAGGTGAGTCACTGGGGGAGTGCCCTGAAAGGGTACATCTGCACTTCAGCCCCTCCCCCATTGCTTCCTGACCCTACCACAAGGCAAGCAGCTTTCTTCTGTGGGCCCTTCTCCCAAGATGTGCTGCCTTACCTTGGCCCAGGCTGGCTATGACCTAAGACCTCTGAGATGGTCAACCCCAAATAAACTTTTCCTCCTCTAGGTTGTTATTGTTGGGTTTTTTGGTCACAGCAATGCAAAAGCTCACTAAAACAAAACTCTCTGTAGACAATACTTACAAAGAAGGAAAAGCCCTTAGACTGGGGGAGATGAATTCAGCAATCCCTGACCAGCATCTGAGGGTTTATCACAGCGCCACCCCCAGCTCAGTCACATCTCTTATAGGGTACTTTGGCACACTGATGCCACCCCAGAACTAAGGCTGTCTGTCTTTTGGGGCCATAAGACTATTCCAATGTCTGACCCCTCTACTCTGATACCCTGTATAAACTATGCTTTTTTTAACAAGAAATCTGAAGGTATAAACTCTTTCCTAGTGCTGTGAAGAACTATGAGAGAAACGAACTACTGAAGATATTGGACAACCCAAAGTGGTTATCACAAACCTAATGGAGACTGGGATGTGGCTCAGTGGTGGAGCACTTGCCCAGCACGTGTGAAGCCCTGGGTTCCATCCCATCACTGAAAAAAGAAAAAAAAAAGTGACCCTCCCTTTGACATAGTAAATAATCCAGCCAGGCAGTCGTGGAGAGCAGCACAGTCCTGGATTTCCTGTGGCCGACTGGGGACCGGCCGCCTTGTGGCTAGCATCTACTTCCTTTTGAACCTAGACTTGCAGCAGCGTGAGGCAGGACAAACCCCACAGAGGCCAAAGTGACGGCCACCTGAACACCCAAGGCAGGCTCAGGGCATTGTGGCACTTGTTTCTTGGTGAGGCCTGGGAAACCTGAGATCCTGGTTCTCGAAAGCCTTCTGGTATCTTCCACCTAATGCCTTCATTTACACTAGTTTGTCTTGTCACCTGGTGCTGACTCTCCAGGACATTAATGCAACATGGGACAACAGTGGGATAAAGTCATGCTGACTGACATGACCTGACAAAGAGACTTCTATAGGGGCTGGGGATGTGGCTCAAGTGGTAGCGCGCTCGTTTGGCATGCGTGTGGCCCGGGTTCCATCCTCAGCACCACATACAAACAAAGATGTTGTGTCCACCGAAAACTAAAAAATAAATATTAAAAAAATTCTCTCTCTCTCTCTCTCTCTCTCTCTCTCTTACTCTCTCTTAAAAAAAAAGAGAGAGAGAGACTTCTATGGGACACTTCATGGAGACCTGGACACACCCTGGTGGTCCCTCCTAGTGCTCTGACTGGGGGAGGGAGGACAAAAAGACAAAAAGGGGGATGGAGAGAAATAAGACCAAAGAACACCTTTTCACAGCCTCGGGGGAAGACGGTCAGTCTACAGCAATGACGACAAGTAAATCCTAGAACTAGCGCAACTCCAATGCATCAATGACTCCTCGTAAATACTAGGACTAGCGAGGCCCCAGCAGGTCTGTGACTGAGTGGCAGGACAAGCCTCTGAAGCCAATCAATCTATGACAGTCTTGGCTTTGCAGTCAGTCACCTGGGAAAGACTCACACTAGTCAGCAGCTGCCAAGGCGGCTGTCGACCCACTCTTCCCTTTGTAACAGCACAAACCATGCTCCTCAGACTGACATCACCTCTCCCCGCCCTGCAGCCAATGTTCCCTGCCCCCACCAAACAGTTCTTTCCCCAAACTCTACACAAAACCAGCAGTTTGCTCAACTCAGTGAGACACTGTCTAAACAGGGTAAGTGATAAATCCAGCCTTTAGATTTCAGATATCTAGTGATGGTCTCCAGTCTTTAATATGCTCATTCACTCATTCAACAAATGTTTGCTTGGTGTCTGGGGATGCCAGACTCTGTTCCAGGTCCTGGGATATAGCAGTGACTAGCACAAGAGAAAAAAACCCATTCAACTGTGCAGAACTTCTGTTCTAGTGAGGACAGACAGGTGGACACAAGCCCACACTAGCCTATACAATACAATTATTGGCTGGTAGTTCCAAGAGCAATGGGACAACAGGAGAGCAGAAGGCCAGGGGACCAGAGTGGGTCAGAGGCGGCTGGGCTGTTTGCTGTGGAGGGTGGTTAGGTTGTCCTGCTGAGCAGACACCACAGCAAGGGCCAGTGAGGGGCTGGGGGAGCCCTCCAGGCCAACAGGAGACCAGCACAGGTTTCCTTCCAAGGTGGGGTGAGAGCAGCATGGGGGTTGGCTGCCACTGGGTGAGGCTGGCATGGAGCAAATGAGGGGGAGGTGACTTGACAAACTGTGGTTTTGAGTGAAGGGAAGAAGGGGTTGCTGGAGGCATCTGAGCATAGAGGGACCTCCTGCTTTGGAGTCATAAGGATTGCTCTGTCTGGGGACATCAGAGTGTGGCGGGGCAGGGGGTCAGAGAGCAAAGCCCAGGGGGGCAGGCCACAGTGCATATAGGCTGGCAGGCAGTGAGAAGTATTTGTGGAACAAATTAGTTGGGGTCATCTAGAGCTCAGCCTAGAGGCCCCCTGGCGCCGGGGCAGCCATGCGGAACACAGGAGCTACAGTGGAGCTGGGAGCTGGGCGGGAGGAGGCTGGCAAACAGGCAGGCGCCCTCTCCCTGGACCAGGCTCCAATGCTGCCACACTTGTGTGACCCACGCCTGCGCCCTCAGCTTCCCAGTAGGATGGGGGGAGCTGGGCAAGGTAGGCCAACACTCCCTCTGCCCAAGTTTCCAGCACCTAGGCACCCCCTGGCCCCTGGCTGTCACTGATCTCTTGCTTGGTCCCTCCCCCTGTACCTGGCTCTCACCTCTTGGTAAGGCTCACTCCCATCAGCCACACTGACCTGGCACAGGACCACTGCCGAGCCCAGGGCCCAAAGGAAGAGCCCGCTCCCCTTCCTCCCGACCCCTCCCCACCCTCCCCCAGCCCTGCCACCACTCACCCACACAGTCCTTCCTGTTCCAGTGGAGCCGACTCCCAGGGGGGCAGACACACTCATAGCTGCCCTTGGTGTTGACGCAGCCCTGGTCACAGCTGCCGTTGTTCATGCTGCACTCGTCCACATCTGGAAGAACAGATGGGAGTAAGGGCAGGAGGGGAGCCTGGATCAGTCAGCTCAGGCCACATCCTTGGGGCTGGGGGGTCAAGGAGTCAGGGCAAGAAGGCTGAGAAGCTACTGACCACACCCCTGCCTGACACCATCTTTTGACCCTGACACGTAGCTGAACATCACACTCACACACACACACACACACACACACACACACACATGGATATCCTCCTGGACATCCAAATGCACCCCTTCTCCAGGGACCTGGCTGAGGAGGTGGCACACAATTAAAGGTTCAATCCAGCCTGGTGGGGCCGGGAGCCAGCACTGGCCCAGTGATCGTGAGGCCTGATCTCACCAGGGGACTGTACAAGCCCCTTCCCAGCCTCAGTTTCCCACTTGCACAGTAGGCACCAGGGGTAGACCTGCTCTGTTACACTCAGCCTATCTGCACACTAGTGAGGGGAAGCCCCAGAAAGCCCTCGGTTCACCTTTGGCCCCTAAATATATCTAGAACCTTCTCTGCAGCCCTGTGCCCTGCCTTACTCCTCAAGCTCCCAGCCTGGGGCCTCTCCCCAAGGCACCCTGGAGTCCACGCTCCTTTCCACATGGTAGCCAGAGCGTCTGGTTACGTAACCTGGTCCTGTTATTGCCCTGCGTAAGCCCTCTGAAGGTGTCTCATCACAGGGGGAACAGGACCTCAAGTCCCCTCTGGGCTCACAGAGCCCTATGCTGTCCAGGCCAGCACCTCCCTGCCTGCTCCCCACCTCGCACCCTCAGCCCCAGGGCTCGAGCCGCATTGCTGCCTCTGCCCCTCAGCCTTGGGACTGCAGAAAACACTGATCCCCTCTTCTCAGCCCACACATTTCTCCTTTGGGGTCCCCATGGTCTTGACACTGCTCTTCTCTGTCACTGCCTCTCTCCCACTAGAACACACTGTGGGAGTTTCTGTGTGGGCCACCCCCTGCTGGACTGGGGTTCTCCAGTAGGTGCAGTTTCTAGGCTTTTGCCTTTAAACTGGCACCAGTGTGGCACTCAGCAGGTACCCACTGGCCTTCCTGCCTCCCTGTTCCTCTGGCTTCCCCTGATCTGCCCGTGGCTAAGCCCTTTCCCAGCAGTGTCAAGGTTAGGGTGTGGGGTACAGTGCAGGTAGCTGTGTAGTCAGGTGCATGCCTCAAAGGGCAGGTGGCCCTGGCAGGTGGGCTGCAGACCTCCGCAGTGGGTCGTCCCATAGAGTGTGTAGCCGTGGTGGCACAGGCACTGGAAGCTGCCCGGGGAGTTGATGCAGATGTGGTCGCAGGTCCGCTCGAAGGAGCACTCGTCGATGTCTGTGTGGCCACAAGGAGACAATATGGGGGAGTGTTTCAGCACTTGGTGGGTGGGCATGGCCCGTCACAAATAGCCACATGACACGCATCTGTGCGTGGACAGTCCCTGGGTGCTGAGGCTCAGTGCAGAGCCAGCCCTCAGCAAATGTCACACTCTCATTGCTGCTTGACGTTCCACTGAGCCGCCATTAACCCTGCTTATGGGTTAGAAGCCATCTTGCGTCTTTCCCAGAGATGAGCAGCAGAGCTATTCGAATAGAAGAGATTCTGACTCTGCCATTTTAACATCTCATATTCAACTGTGATTAGGAGAAGTGTTTAATCTCACCTGCAGGAAGGAAAATGGTTGGGCCTTGCCTAAGATCCCCAAGGAAGAAGCTGAATGGGACATGAACCCAGGCCTGCTGACCAAAGTGACCCAAGAAGTTTCTTGAGAAAATAAGGAAAACAGCACAAATAAGTAAGGGAATGCGCTACCCACAAGACTGAAAAAAAGACTCTGATCATATGTGACATTTGATCATGAGCTTCCTGGTGGCTGAGGAAAAGGGAGCATCACCAACTGCTTGCTACTGGAAGGGATGAAATGAGCCAGATGCTCCCAGGAGGTGAGTCTACCCTAGACATAAATTCTGAGGAAAATGGCTCCTATGGGGCAGCTGATGGGCCTTGGCGGGCACAGCAATATCAGCCTGAGCCTCTGGGAGCACAGTGATTGAGTTTGTTCTCTGAGTCCCTCTGCTCACGTGATGTATGCACATCATATTCATGATGTATACACATTCACAAGAGCACTAATGCAAGGAGGAACTGAGCTGTGGACCCTCAAAGGGGGATGCGATCCTTCCCAGGGGATCTGGGAAGAGCTCCTGGTATTTGTGGCCCCTGACCTTGAAGGATGGGGCCAACTTGGAATGGAGGAAGGGTGCTCCAGGCAGAGGTTGAGGTGGCAGTACAGGGTGCCTGCAGGTTGTGTAAGGTCAAGGGAGGACTGGGGAGATGCCCGGGGTTCCTGTCCTGAGAGCCCTGAGCACCACAGGGGACTGGATCCCTCTCTGCTGTATCTGGGGGGTCCAGGGCCCCAGACCTCAGGTGACCTGGAAGAGGGTGGAGACACTGGCAGAGTAGGGAGCAAGTGAGCACAGGAACTTGGCCCAGAGCCCAGCAGAAGATGTGCCATCTCCCCTCCTCTCTCAGGGGCAGCTGGGCATGCAAGGTCAAGGGCCCCCCAGCCCTCTACTGAACTTGGCAAGGCTGACCCAGAAACAAAGAAAGCACAGAGGAGCACCGATGGGGCCTGGATGAAAGCCATGCTCCTGACTGGCCCTCATACCCTGAGAGGAAGATGGGCCCCTGGTGCCCATTCAGGGACAGTGAGGCAGAGCCTAGGAGAAGAAGTGACTGCACTGGCCACATGGGGAGCCTGAGGTCAGGCTGGCCCTCAAGCTGCACCCATAAGGCAGAAGCTGCAGACCCCCAAACCGAACCTGGCGACAGAGTCCTCACGTGCACTACACGGCCAAAACAACCAGTGCACAACCCAAGAGCTGGCCTCCCTCTGCGCTTTCTCCCAAAGCTGGTCCCACAGGACACCCCACCAAGCTCCTGTGGTCCAACAGTGCCATCTCCTGGGTAGGTGATAATGCCACTCCTCCTAGCACTTTACCAAAGGCCCCTCCCCAGGAAGCCTTTCCTGAACCACCCCTGTCCACTGCCCACCCTCTGGGCTCCCACTTCATCCTGGACTTGTCATAAACTGTGGTCCTGGGCTTCTGCCCAGCCCTCTCCTGCCGTCCATCATTCTCCCTAGCAGGTGACTGTGGGAGAGTGCCTGTGCAATGCCTTCCAGCAGGTGGCAGCACCCACCTCTAAAGCCAAAGCCGTCCCCATACTGAGGGAGGTCAGGGGAGGGCTGCTGGATCTTTCCCCAGCCCTCAGTTTCTCATCTATAAAGGGGACTGGTTGGTCTGGATGCCCCGAGAAACAAAGAACAGGAAGTCGGGGTGGACAGAAGCACATGCCAAAGACTGGAGACCTACGACCATTCTCTCAGGCCCAGCTGGCAGAGTGGACATCCACGCGCTCACCTTCTCGTCTAGGAGCCTGCATGAGCCCAGGAGGGAAGGGACATTGGTCTGCTGGGACCCGATGGGGAGGGGTTGCCCAGGCCTGGCATGGGCTCACCTTGGCATGTCCGCTCGTCCGTCAGCAGCTTGTAGCCCTTGCGGCAGCCACACTCGAAGCTGCCCACAGTGTCACGGCAAAAGTGGTCACAGCCTCCATGGTTGACCAGGCACTCATTGATATCTGCAGGGATGAGGGGGAGGAACAAGGCAAGGGGAATGGGCTCTGGCTCTTAAGGGAGGGGCAGCACCCTCCTTCCCTATCTGCCTGGCTGGCCTGAGGCCCTGCCCAGAGGCTTGCACTCCAGCTGACCACAGGATGGGGCCTGGCCCACAAGTGTGGGACAGGGCTTGGAGTACACTGTGAGGGCCCAGCCTTTGAGGCTTCACCCCTTAAGACCTGGTGAGCCTGGCATCATGCCCTGTGCAGAGGAGCTGATATCTGCTGTGCCAGGTGAGACAGGGCGGCGATGTCCACTTGTGGTCCTTCAACCCACACTTCCAGGGAGGTGGCTGGAGGGCAGTGAGGCTGGAACAGGGGCCACCTCAGGTGACCAGAGCAGGCTCCTGGATTCCTGGTGGGAGACGGGTAAGAAGCGCCCCGACCCCTGCCCTCGTGCAAGACGTAGTGAGGGGGACCTGAAGTCCTGCTGCCAAGCGCTGGAGTCCAGTCAGCTGTGAGGACACTTTAAAAAGTAGGTTTTATGGCCTGTTTGAGTAAGGAGGCTGAGGCTCAGAGGGTCAAGTATTGGTGCGAGAGCCTTTTGCTAAAGGGGGCGCGGGGTGTGAGCTGCGCCTGAGGGACCCCCACTCCCCGCCTGTTTGTTTGTTTCTCTGTCAATAGTTAATGAGTGGCAGGCAACACTGCTAAGTAGGTGGCTGCAGCTCATGCACCTCAATGACAGAGTTCTCTCTCACAGTGTGGGCTGCTGCTGACACCCCAGGGATGCCTGTCCCTCTCGCCCCAAGACAGTCTGACTCCTTTGAGCCCCTTGTCCCCACCCCTCAAGCTGCTCATCTGGGCTCCAGCTCAGCCTGGCATTCTGTGGCAATCAGAGGCCCCCTGTCCCTGTCCCTGAGGGTCCTTTTCTCCAGGAGCTATGTTCTGGCTACTTCAAAGTTCCTCCAGGGCCCCCATGGTCTCCAGCCCCCATGCCGACCTCCCTGTCCAGGTGTCCCACTCCCCCCTGGTGTGGAGGAGTAAAAGGGAAGCGCCGAGACCCTCCCAGCCAGGAAATGGATGACCTCCCCTATGGTCGTCAGACCCGCCCTGGCACAACTGCCAGGCAGGGGCCCAGCACCTGTGGAGCCCACCCTGAGCGTGGGTGCTCGGCTGGTGCCGGATGCCCTGTCCTGTGTACTGGGCACCCAGTGACAGGGTGAGCCTGCCTCCTTTGACAGATGGGGGACAGGAGCCTCACTCCTCCCTTAGCAGCTCCCACCCCAGCAGAGCCTCAGCAGCCACCTTCCTGCTTCTTCCTTCAACCAGACAGGCGACGGGCGCCTGCCCACGTCCCCAGGCATCATTCCCATGGAGTGCTCCCAGCAGCTCTGGACACTGCTCCTGCATATCAGAGGACAGCCCTCTTTAGCCCTCCCTGGGGTCACCCTGGGAGCCTGGGGAGGTGCCTGAACCAAGCTCTTCCTGGGGCATCTCCCTCCAGCCCCACGACAAGTGGGAGGAGCAGAGCCCCGTTTTCATAGAATGTGGTCACAGGGCTCCAGGTGAGAGCTGACCTCTACCAGCACCGTCTGTCTCGAGGATGGCCTTCTCCAGCACACCATGCCGGCCCTGTGGCCACCAGAGAGACATGAAATGAGCTGTGGCCTGAGCTGAGGTGTCTCCACCCCAGGTTCCAGGAAAATTGGGAGTTTCTGGCATAAAGCCTCAGGCAGGAAAGCAGAGGCCTGTCTTTGCCTTGCCAGCTGTGTGACCTTGGGCAGGGAAAGACACCTCTCTGAGCCTCAGGTTCCCCATCTACAAACTAGGATGTCCACCAGCACCTCCCCTAGCGCCATTAGTGGAATTAAGTAAGCCAACTCCGCTAAGTAGACAGGGGCTGTCCTGTGGTCATTATCAGGACCCCTGCCTCCTCAAGAACGCCTCAGGCCTCCTGAGACTTCTGACCCCTTCTGCTTCCCCATCCAAATCTGTCCAGCCAGGGTGTGTCACAGCAACCAGACAGGCAGAGGGAGGCATGTGTGCTTGGGCCCAGGCTGGAGTAGCTGGCTGCCTGGAGGGATGTGGGGGTGCCCCTCCTCTCTACCCGGATCTAGTAAGGGGGTGCTGGGCTCCCAGGTCCCTTGACCTCTGATGAACCAACACTGGGGAGGCACTTCAGGTCCTCTGTCCCCTTCCCATCCTCGACTGTGTCCACACACCCTCCACCTTCCACAGCAAATCTGGCCATGCCCCTACCTGCTGACAAGTCTGTGGGGGCCTCTGGGTCTCCTGGGTAAAGGCCAGCCCTTGGTGGTGGCCACAGACTTCGTTCTGCAGCCTGGCCTGCCCGCCGCAGCTCCTCTCCTGGGCAGCCTTGGCCTCTGCTGCGCAGCCCAGGCTCCAGCCACCCGCTGCACCACTGCAGCTGGCTCTCACCTGCTGGCCCTCTGCAGGGCCTCTCCACCTTCCCCTGGCCAGCCTTCCTGCCCTTCCCTCCAGAGTCCATCTCTCCCTAGTCACAGGGCTTGCCCGGGGGCAGGAGACAGCCTTGGGACTAGACCACAGAGGTGGGTACCTATTCCTGTCTGGCACCCCAGGCCCAGAGTGAGCGACTGAATGAACAGATGAGCCAGGAGGTGAGACAGGGTGGTCCAGAAACAGAAAAGGGCCTGAGGGTCCAGGGAAGGGTGGGACCTTGGCCCATCAAGTAGCCATTTGACTGTACCACCCAACGGTGGAGCACAGGTGTGTGGGTATGGGGGTGCCTGCCAGGTGAGGATTGTGCCCCAGGAATGCACAGGATGGCTATTTCTGTTCCCTTCTGCCATCCCGGCACACTGTGGGGCCCATGAACAAGGGCTTTTGGGAGGGGCAGCGGGAGAGTTAGGATGTGGGCTGGCCAGGTGGAGGGCAGGTGAGGGCACCTTTGCTCCCACACAGATAAAAGTCCCAGCAGGTGGCCTGTCTGGCCCAGGGCACAGGGAAGCAGCAGTGGGTGGGGATTCTCCTAGATTGTTCTTGAAGGTGTGTGGAGGAGGGGTCTCCCTGAGGGAAAGCGGCTGCAGCTCAGAACTCTACCCTCTGGGGAGAGTCCAGCATCAGGAGGCCGCCTCCCAACAGCACAGGGGGACCCAGCTCCAAACTGAGACTGAACCCGGCCCAGGCCACCCCCTTGAAATAAAGCCTGGGCTTGGGGCAAGTCCTCTTGATCCTCTAAAACCTGCATCCCACTTTCCCACCCCTGCCGCCTACCCCCGGGGATCCCCACCAGCCCTGGTGAACCCCGCCTGCCTGGGCTCTCAGCTCTGGATTTTCCCAGCCCTCTGTTATCTCCCCTCCAGTGATCTATCTTGCTTGACAATGTCTTTTTTGCTTCCAGAAAACACTGAACCTTTGAAATCACTCCTTTGATATTCTTCCCTGGACCCGGGCCAAGATCAGGGTGTGCACCCTGAATTGAGGAGTGAAACCCAAAACCCCAGAGGCCAAGGTCTTGGGTTCACTGGGAATCCCCTGCTGGGCTTGCCCCAGCCAAGTCCCCAGCCCTGCCTGCATCTCTCCAGCAAGAGCCTGAGAACCCAGGTCACCAACCCTGGGGTCTGGAGGGGGCATCTGGTTTCTCAGGCTTCCCTCCTTGAGTTGAGCTGTTCTCGCTCTACAGGTCTGTGCCAGCCCGTGCCCCTCCATTCCTAGTACCAGTGGGGAAGTCTCAACCCAGTTTCCCATCTCTGCCACCATCCGGCCCAAGCAAAAATGTTGTCCTGAGCCAGGGGATGGCAGCAGTTTCCTCCCTGCTTTTCCAGATGCTGCCCAGAGACTGCTGGCCAGGTGGTGGCAGGGACCATTTCAAAATAAAAACCCACCCAGTACTGACTGGGGTCTGCCCGGCACTCACAGTTGGAAATGTCACCAGCCCCCTTGGGCTACCCCAGAGAGGGGTGGGGAGCAGCAGCAGGAGTCCTCTCCCGGCTGCTCCCTCTGGGGCCACAGGACTCCCCAGGCCCTTTCTGGTCCCCAGTGGTGAGCTGGCTCCAGCTCTCCTTCCAGCAGCCTTGCTCTCAGGACTTCAGCCCTGCAGGGCCCCCTTTCCCAGTCCAGCCTCCACCTCCCGGCGAGGCAGTGAGGACTGGTTCTACCTCTCCAGGCCCTGGGTCTCTGGACAGGTGACATTACTGGTCCTTGAGGATGCCCAGATCTGCGCTGACCTCTGGCTCCCTTGCCACCCACTCCTGGCATTGAGTCCACATGGCGAGGACTCAGATGTCACCTGTCTGCCCACAACCCTGCCAGGAACACATCAGGGCTACTGACAGGCCGAGCGGCGGCTACAGAGGGCTTCACTTCACATCAGCAGCTGGCAGATCTGCCTCTGCTGTCATAATTAGCAGCTCTTCCTAGCAAGGGGGCAAGGAAGGAAGAAGCTACTTTGTCAGACTTACAAACAGCCCACCTCAGTCAGTTTTAAATTGTCTTAAACATTCGCTGGCCACACTCTCCAGCTCCTGCTCCCTTCGAGGCCCTCCTGGGTCAGGGCTGGGGTAGGCGCCTGAGGGCGGCCCGGCTGCTGCCCCCTTCTGTGTGCGGCTTTGCCAGTCAGGCCTGGGCTTTTGTAATGGCCCCCGGCCTTTGCCTGGCCTGGCCCTGCTGTGGGAGGCTGGTCCCCACGCAGGCTGGTCCTGGAGCCCAGCCTCTCTCTGTGGAAGCCGCAGCTCCCCTTCCCTCACTGCGCCCCCCCCGCCCCTTCCTCCACCTTCAGCTACCTGTTCCTTTTCTATGACAGAGTTCCTCTGCATCCTTCTTCCTTCAGTGAAGCACAGAACTCACACAAATCCCCTTACAAATTTCCAACAGTGACACATAATGACTTACACACTTCCCAAACAGCCCAGAGCTGGGCTGTCCCCATCTGTTCTGAGAATCACCCCCACTACAGGTCAGCATCTGGGCCAGCACCTCTGCCCCCAGGGAGTTCCAGAGTAAAGGCACTTTTGATCCAGGAGTCTATGGAAGTACCACACACCTGTGTTCTCTGGTCCCTGCTGGGACCCTCCCTTCTCCTGGCCTTCCCAACACCAAGGTGAGTGACTGCCGAGTGCCCCTATTCTGTGGCCACATGGGGCTCAGAGGCCAGGTGGGGACACACCAGCATACTCCCTGTGCTGACCTTTGCATGTCTTCCCGTCTGGCTGCAGTGTGAATCCAACAGGGCAGCTGCACCGCACGCCAGTGGCTGTGTCCTTGCACGTCCGGTCACAGCCTCCGTTATTGACTGCACATGTCTCTGGGGAGGGAAAGACACAGAGATGCTCAGTCTCCTTGGGCAGAAGCTACCAGCTTTCCCCAGCCATGGGGAGATCTCCTGTGAGATAGGAGAGCTGGGTTCAAGTTCTGGCTGATACTCCTGCTATGGGACTCTAAGGAACCTGTGCTGCCTCTCTGAGCCTCAGGCTCCCCATCTATAAAATGGGAGAATGGGCTCCATTCCCATGGGGTCGCTGTGAGGCTCGTCAAACCTGACAGAGAGCAGTACTGGCTAGAGGTTACTGCTGACAGCTGAAGACCACGATCTGGGGTCTGAGATGGGCCTGGCTGGTTCTTAACTGCCCACGGCCAGGATCCTGAACCTTTGCCCCACCTGCTCTTAGACTCCAAGTCCATCAGTGGTGGCTGGAGGCAGCCATATTCACCCCAGTGGGGAATGGCTGCAGCCCTGGCTGTGGGGCCCGGGCCTTGCGCAGCACTCACCACCACCCTAGTGAGGCTTGACCCACCACTGTTCTCATCAGAATGCACCAAAGGTGTCTGGGTTTTGTCCACTTGAAGTCTGTCTAGTGCTTTTTTTTCACGTCTGAAAAGTTCAGAGGCTGGAGTGGCTGAGGTACAACGGGGATACCAGAGCTTGCGGTGAGTGGTCCTCACTGGCTGTAGAAAGGCCATAGTGCACCCACAGGGTGCTGTTCTCCCAGACCTCAGTCCTTGCCACCTGGTTTCGTATCTTGTGGTACAGGGCCTGGAGGGCACAGCCTGAGCTTGCTTCACCTGGGGGCCTGCCTTCCTTGGTTCTGCAAGTGGCTGTGTGTTCCTCTGGGAGAAGTTTGAGAATGAATGTACAGTTGCCAGCAGTCCCTGCTGCTAATTAGATTCGTGGTGCCCGTCCTTTGACCTTCACCTTGAGGGTGAGCATGTGATTCTGCAGGGCCTCCAGGGTGGGCGTCCTGCTGCTGGGGCTATCTGCATGAGAGCCGCCCGCCTGCCTCGGGGTTAGTGACTTCCCACCGCCATCACGGGGCTGGCTGTAGTTTGCTGAAAGGTGTCTCCTTGGCCCTGACGCTCTTTCTGGTCTGTCTCAGTGCCCTGGTGGCCCTGGCAGCTTCTGTGAACCCCCCCCCCCATCCCCGGGGTCTTTGCCGTGCGTTGGCCCTGGCTGCACACCTCCTCCCTGCTCAGCCTTCAGGTCCACACCTGGGGAAGCCTCCTTCCCAGGGCTGAGGTGAAGATCAAGTCTTGAAGGCACCAGGCAGTGGCTGCTCATTATGCGTTTCCTCTCCTGGGCTTAAAGCCAGACCAGGAAATCCTGCCTCCCAGCCCACAGCAGAGCCAGTGTCCCCGAAGAGCCCTTTCAGCCTTCCAAGTGTGATGGCCCCTTGATGGAGGGGGCTGAGAACCTGCCCGTTTTGCAGGTGTAGGTAGTTAAGGCTCTGAGGTAGGGGGCATTAGGGGTCAGCAGCAGGCACTGAGGGCTGGGCCAGGCCTGGTCTCTCTGTGCTGGTGGAAGTGGGTGGGGGCCCTGGTGATTATGTTCTTGAGAAATGGACATACCTGACAGCTGGTATGTTCTTCCCCTTGGTGGCACTTGTAACTCGACCCTTCAGACCCAAGAGGGTCTTGGGGACCTGCCCACTGGGCAGTCTGAGGCTGGGAGGGGGCTGGGCCAGCATGGATGTCCACCCTTCTCTGGACCCCATTGCAGGGCTCTCTCCCCCACTGGGTGATTTCAGTTTCTCTGAGTAGCCCCAGCTGGTGCATACATTTTAGGCTTTGAGTGAGGGGCTCTGAGTACCCCAGCATCTGGGGGCTGGTGGGCCACTCTTGGGTGCAGATCCCTCTTGCTGCCAGTGCCCCATCATGGTGGTCACCGCATGCCAGGCCCTACTCTGCCTCTTGTCTCCTGCCCTGGCCCTCGGAGCTCCTGGGCCCACTGCTTCCCCCACCAGGAGTGGGGCCAAGGTTGTGCAGACAGCACTGGAGGTATCAGCTTGGTCCCACTCTACAGTGCCAGGAGGGCAGTGACCCAACGGCAGGCCTTCGATCTGTCTCCAGCCACCCTTAGCTCCAGGGACCCAGGCAGCTGTGCCTAGACCTGCTGCTCACTGCATTCAACTCCCCCTTCCTCCTGCAGCCCCTGCTCCACCCCGTCCAGAACACTCCCTCACCTTCTGGCACCCCTGGGCCCCCTCTTGCTGCTTCCTTAACATCTCTGGAATCCAGCCCCTGCTCTTGCTGCTGCCATTTGGGACCAGGCCACCACAGTCCTCTGAGACTCCACAGCTTCCCAGGCTCCTCCCCTAGCTCATGGCCTCACTTTCAATGCTCACTTTCAAGGCTTTTCTGGACCTGTGCTGGGCGGGGAGGTGAGTGCAGGGAGCAGTCTGGCAGCTGGCCTGTCCTCCACTCTGCCTTCCCAGGACCATGGGCAGGTTGTCCTGTGCTGGGGCTCTAGTGCCTCTGCTACAACACGGCGGCGTGGGGCACTTCCTGCCTTGCCCACCTTAGCAGTGCTGTTCTGAGGTGACGGAGGTTCTGCTACCAAAGGCAACATGTGTAAAGAGCAAGACGGAAGCCCACCCAGGTCCTTTGTGGGGGACTGAAATCTGCACTTAGGGAAGGTTGGTCTGGATGTGCCAAGCATCTTGTCCTTGGAGGTTTCCCTTAGAGGCTCCTGGGTGCTGCTGAGGGGATCCCTTGCCTTCAGTGGCCATTAGTCTGGGGTACTGCCCAGCTTCCATTTCTGAGGGCCTTGGAAAGCTGCCTTACCTCTCTGCCCCCCCAAGACCAGAGACTGCCAAAACCTGGTGCTGGATCACCACTGTCTCGAAGAGCTTCAAAAACCAGCTCTGTCCTTCCTACAGTGGGCATCTAACTGCAGGCTACCCCAATGTGAGCTGGAGATGGCAGCAGGACATCTCTCTGGGTCTCTGGACCTTCCACCTCCTTCTCAGGGCCTTCTCAGGGTCGCATCACAGCTCCTGTCCCTCCCAGAGGCTAAGAGTGAGCTTGGGCCAGAGGGTAAAAGGGGTTCTGCAGGACGGCCTCATGAGGCCACACCCCACTGCAGGTTTGCCTCCAGTCACCAGAACTGCGGGCAAGTGGGGCAAAGGAGAAGAGGGCAAAGCTAAACCTCAGAGAGTTTCTCCCAGGATCTGAAGGAAGAATTTCCTTTCAGACTCTGTGAGCCCCGTCTCTCCTATACCCCGACTTTAGATGAGAGCTGCCAGGGCTCTCCTTAAAGATCTTCCTGCTCCTTCTGGAGCAATGATGACAGCAAACCTTGCCCTGCCTACCCCTGAGCACCCGACAAAGCACTTGTCAGCCACTCACCTCAGCAGGCCTCACCCATGGGGCACTTTTGCAGGTAGGGACCTGAGGCTCAGAGAAGTAACTTGTCCAGGCAGGACTAGTTACCTGATTTGGGGGACCCAATACAAAATATCAATGAAGGTCTCCTTTTCCAAGATTGTTTAGAACTTCAAGACAGAGTCAGTAGGGCATTAAGCTAGTTGGGGACCATCCCAGGGAAGGACTCCTGGTGACTGCCCAGGTTGAGCAGGGGAGGAGCCAGCATGCGCCCTGAGGTTGTGGGACTCCAGGCTGATGAGCGAGCTGGAGCAGGCCGGAGAGCTGGGGTTTGGCAGGGGAGCCCAGGGCCGCTCCCAGTGAGGCAGCAGAGCAGAAGAATTGAAAGCCCCAGTCTTTGGACCTTCCTCAGGGAAGCCCTATGCTGGGCTGGCTTTGCAACACTGGACCCCTGCCTGCAGCAGGCCAGAGCTCTACCAGAGGGACAGGACATAGGAGTAGAGGACGGCCTGGGAGCCGCCCTTGGAATTCACACTGCCTGATGGCACCCCACCGGCCCAGGTTCAGCGAGTCTTTGAAGGACAGTCTCCAGCGAGTCCTTGAAGGACAGTCTCAATCACAGTGTAGTGGAACAAATATGAGCTGAACAAACATCTGGCTGCGTGAACAAGGCCAAGTCTCATTGCTTTGGGAATCTGTTTCCTGATGGGGATGGAAAGAGCTGGCGACAGTGTGTGTGAGAGCGCAGGGTTAAGAAGGGACCAGGGCGGCTGAGACAGGGAGGCTGCTGAGGCCAGGACTGCAGCCCTGATAAGGTACAGGTCCCCATGTGTGGGTGGAGATGACAATATTTACTATGCAGTTCTTGCAAGGCCCAGAAACAACAGTCTGCATCAGTGTTTTGTAAGCACTGAGGGATGGACTTTAGCCTACCCATGCTCTCCGGAGTCCCATCCTGGGCCTCTGATACCTGGGGTGGCACTGTCAACCCAGAAAAGGCCTCAGAGTCCCCCTCTGTGCTACCAAGGCAGAGTTAAGGACACACCTAAGGCTGCCTCCGAGGTTCAGGATGCCCCTTGAGCATAGTGGGCAGAGGGATCTGACCTCTGTCCTGAGCACAGCTGATGCTGGATCTGGATGGAGCCTTCCAAGGTCGCCTCTTCCCCTCCCCTACAGGGACCCCACCTCATCAGGGCAGCAGCCTCCTGCCTCAGCTGCACTGGCCCCTTCCCCTCACTGTCTCCATGCACTCATTGTCGCCAGCCTGGTTCCACGTTGAGGCCTGAACAGTCCCAGGTGGGCTTATCCAGTCCCCACCTCAGCAGATGGCGCTCAGGAGTAGATCTCGCAGGCTGGAGGCGGAGCAGGGCACTCCAGGCAGCAGGGAGAGGCTGGGGTGGGTAGTTTGTGCCATGTGGTTAGGCCAGGGTGCTAGTGCTCAGGAGATGAGCAAGCCACCCCATCTCATCCAGTCCCTGCTGAGCCACAGGAGGTGGCATGAGACCTTGCTCATTGTGCCCAGAACAGATGGTCACACGATACTAATGACAGGTTGGAGTTCAGAGAGCCATGAGGTGACAGGCAAGAGGAGACCAGGGCCCCTGGGTAAGGGCCATAGTGCCTTTTATCCCAAAGTGGCAGGAGCCAGGGAAGGGCCAGCAACCAGCTGAAGGGAGAGGGTCAGAGGTCAGAAAGCCACGAAAGCCA